AAAAAGCATTATGCGGGTCACTCTGTAATTGGGCGCAAGCCTGTTGAGGGCCCAGAACAAGAGAGGGATAATAATAAATAAATAATAATAATTTTTATTATGTGTTGTAAAACTCTTCCGTTAGATGTCGCCTGTTGTTGTCTCTCATTCTTTTTTCTTATTTCCCCACTTGTTTTGTGCCGCCCCTTGTCTCTGGAAAAGAATGATTTTGTAATTAAAAATGACATTTTTCCCAGACTCTTCCTAAGACTTTCCCAGATTATTCACCGACCTCGGGAATGATGCATTACAAGTTGCATAATGATGTTATAAATCATGTGTTATAATTTTAGTTAATTAAATAATCTAAAAACACCATTTCCAGGGAAATATTCTTTCATGTTGGAGCATTAAGTTGAGATATTAACTCCTGAGTATCCATCGGTAAAGCACTAGCACACACTTAACAAACGACCGTAAGTAAGCAGTCCAAGAAGCGAGAATCAAACCAAAATGAACAAATCATATTAAAAACTCAAGGATTTATGGTGGGTTTATACAATCATTATCACTAGTTCACTATCAAAAATCATTAAGAAATCGCCAATAGAAACAAAGGTTTATTGCACTTTGCTAACCAACGAAACTATCCTGAGCTTAGTGAGTTAATGATGATGACTATATAAACCCACCATTAATAACATAATAATTCCAAGGACCAGAAGAACGTTTTATGTTCTGTTTGGCAAACGTAAGAAAATTCCATTAAAATAAGCACATGGTAAACTGAGGCAAAGTAGAGGTGAGTCGGGGTGAATATTGGGGTTCTTGTTCACAAGAAAAATAAACACAAATGGAACTTTAGTAATAGTCAATCGGATAGGCGTTACTTATTTTTTAGTCACCTCCAAAAGAGGGGAGAGAATACTTACCAAAAAGGGGAAACAAGCCAAACCGACCCTTGCTTAAAGATAAAAGAATAAAATACTTGATAGGAATGAGAGGGGTAGCACATGAACAATAATTGACGTCACAATTGAGAATAACTTACTCACAAATATTACAAATAGATCACTGTAATATATAGATCGACAATGTCTATTTAAATTTAAATTTTTAGTAAAAAGGGGTGATGCCCCTGACACGTAGTCAGAGTAAGTATTAATATCAAAACAGGGTTCCGCAGATAACAACTGAGCTATAATCGTTAGGTGAATATCAAGTAAATGTAATAATGGTATCGAAAAACAGTATGTAATCAAACGTTAATCAAGCAGTCGACGAAAAAAAAAAATCGCCTTTGAACTCTGGTCATAGCGATCTTCTAAATTCAGAAGGGCACGTTCTGCATATCTCTAACGGATAACAATACAAACAAACAAATAAAAGGGGTAGTGAATCGCGCTGCACGTAGAATATTGCGAAATGGCAATGTTAACGTCTGACACGTAGGCAATCGGATATTAAAACTGTAATGAATACTTAAGAAGAATGAATAATTCGAATGACTTTACACTAGCAAAAGCAAAATTTTGATTAACCAGGAGTTATCCTTACAGTTCGGGTATAACAGCATAAACAGTGACGTTAAATTCAAAAAAATTACCTTACGATGCACATATAACCTAAATTTCTATTCAATAGCAGCGCAATATCATGAATCCAAAATGTAAATAAGCTTGTAGGAGGAAATTCTTTGAAGTAAACAAACATCGTAACCAAAAAACGGTTACTTCAAAACTAATTCACAAAGTAACTGTACTAATATCGGTATAATAGAGCTAATCTGAAGGATACAATGTAATCAAACTAACAGAATGAATTTTCGTAGTCACACAAGTAATCGTAAGTATCATCAGACATTAGCCATTAGACATTGAACATTGGACATTTGACAATGGACATTGGCCATTGGCCGTTGGCCGTTAACCATTAGCCATTAGACATTGAGTCTAATCAGAAAAGTAATGGCGTACCAAAAGACATTCGCATGTAATTAATGCGAAAGCAGAACCTTTACTGCGGGGAAAGAAATAAAACTGCGCGAGTAAGATAAAAATACCACAGAAAACATCTGCACGATTTTGGTTGGCGAAACAAAGAGCATCTTAAAAGAAACATATACTAAGATAGTAACAAATTTACTACGGGGTTAACTTGCATCGAAAATTAGTGGATTACAAACGAAACACCTACATGGCGTAAGGATATAAAATTTACATTAGCGCGAAAAGAGTTTAAATAAACGAGAGCACAAAAAAACACGTTACAAGCGAATCAAAAGTTAAGACACTTTAAAGGAACTCCAATAACTCTCCAAAAACTCTTCAAAGGTTCGTCACTGGTAGGTATTTGAAAAGTTTCAAGGTCCTTCAAAAAATGGTTCAACGATTTGTTAAAGTTTCCATAATGACCGTAAAGACTCCAAAAAGTTGATACAATAACGGAAACTTTGGAGCTTTGATCCAACTATGCAACGATCCATTTGCCAATGATCCAAAAATCCAAAGACTCAAAAATTCAGTAGTTCAAGTTTCCTTGTATCAGGCATCGAAATTTAGATTTTAGGTCTTATGGTACAATTAAATATTGGTCAGAGTTCCAAGATTCAAATTGCACGAGTTAAATACAACTTGAAGATACCAGTTTCAAGATTCAAGCTCCAAAATTTTAGTATTTAAGATTTAAGAAATGTTTTAGAACTTATGTTTCGAATACTTGAACTAAACCGCGATTCAAGCTCATTTAAATTTAAATGCAATTCAAATTTCAAAGCGCTATAGGTTGAAGGCCCAAGTTTCAAGGGTTAGGAACCAATTTTTCAGAGCTAACAGTCAAGCTAAAAGATTGAAGGTTCATACCTTAAAATCCAATTTTTAAATTTCAAGCTTCAAGGTGAAGCACGGTATTTCAACCCAGGGTTCAAGATGCAAGCTTTTTTTTACAAACCTAACTCTAAAGCTTAGCCTTCAGGGTTCAAGACAAAAGCTGCGTCGCAAAGTCTGAAAGACAGGACAAGCAAGGGACAAGCTTCAACATTAGATTTTGAAAATCCAAGATTTAAAATTAAGCTCTGAAGCTTCAATGCAACCTTACATGTAGGATTCAAACCTTGAGTAGCAGTACTTCCTAGCTCTCTAGTTTTAAGAACTGGTACTGGTATTCATCATTTATCATTAAATGAAAACTGTTTAAAAAAGTAAAGATTGAAAGATTCACACTGCCATTTTGAATTTTGATTGTTCGGATCTCGACTCGTGGGAAGACGTTGAATGATTAATTAAGTTAACTTGATCTTTACGTCATAAATAACTCCTTATTTCAATAGTTGCAGGTGGTAGCACCTTGGCCGACGTAAACGTTTCCCATGACTTCCTCCATTTTCCCTGAACTTCGTTAATCTCTGTTTTATCAAAAGGTACACTCCTGGCACTTACGTGTATCGCATTATCGGTTAATACAATTTCATTATTTCGTCCTATTTTGAACGAAAGTAATTTTGCGCCCCCATACATCTTCAACTACCGGCGAAACGTTTGAGAGAAACAAGCTTCCCAGTAATTTCCTTAATTGACAAAATGAAAATTCTAAGGCAATTTTATATTTTACTTAACATCCCGTAAAAAATATACGGAATGACATACCGGGACGCCCTTCAAGGGACTCCAAACAAATGAAATTAACTCAAGGTTTTTAACTGACATCGGCAGAAATAGCTTCTTTTATTTACAAGAAATGTGCGTATTTCGGTGAAGAAGTAAGAACGCAATCAACTGCTTTTTAATCAAAATTTATTTGAAACGGCGAGACAGTTGAATTTGGACTGGGAAATGATACATGTAAGCTGTCAATTGGGTTGCAAAAATGGTAGTAAGCGCAGAAGTTGCCAGATAAATATTTATTCATAAAACTAACAGAAAACATGTGTCTTGGGTATGTTATTTTGATATATTTTGATAAGTACATTATTGTCGTGTGAAACATGCAACGTGAATATTTAAAAAGCCCCTAGATATTTGGATAATACAGATATCGTGAACATCGGTGAAATATTATATAAATTCTCCTACCGGCCGGACAATGATTTCCTGTACCTAAAAAAGAATTAATTATTATTCACACTGATTTAAATATAAATGCTAGACTTTTCTGTGAAATTTATAATAATAGTTATTTATATAACAAGAGCGCGAAGTTCAATTTCGCGCATTGAGACTGAAGGTGACGAGGCGAAGCCGAGTTAAAATATCAGTCAAATGCGCGAAATAACTTCGCGCTAGCGTTATATACAATATTTTTTCTACCACTGAACCGATTGTTAATTAAATTTGCTGTTCAAGTTCAACTTTGTCACGTGCGCGAAATACATTTTTCTGTTGACGATTTCGCGCACGTTGCCAAGAGCAACCGTACTTATTAATTAACCGTTTAAAAATCTAGTACTTCGCGTTTCGAAATTCGTCAGAAAATGACAGGTTTTTTTGACAGTTGTAGAAAATAGCTATTTGTGTATTAAGAGCGCAAAATGATATATTGTCGATTGAAAGAGAAAGTTGACGCGCGACGAAGGAGCGCGGCAATCTCTTGAAATCGACAATCAATTTGCGCTCGAATTACACACAAGATTTTTTCTACAATCGAGCAGTTCACATATTTCCAGAAATTTAAATTTTTCACACAAATCATTTTAATCTTATGCCCAAATGAAAGATGTCATTTACTCGTTGTCATTGGATACCCTGAGCAATGTATATTTGATTTATAGTTAATAATTGGGAGAGCGAGCGTTTTTTCTATTTTGTCGCTTATAAGCGACAAAGTGACATTCCTCGAAAAAGATGACGTTTGCGTTGTCAAATACGAGCGCAAATGCCTACTTTGGATATCGATTGTAGAAAAATAGTTTTTTTCGGAGGTTTTATTCATAACAAATTAAAATGTTAATTGTTGTGATATCGTAATGTGTGAAATGGTATTATAGAACAGTCGTTGTCGATTATGAGGGTGAAAAAATAACCCAGTTAAATTTCAAAATCCGCTGGCATTACATTTGGATCAACGTATTATAAATTAAGGGTTAATTTTCAGCAGAAACAGCAAGGTAACCATAAAAATTAATCGTTAATTTATAATGCGTTGATCACAAGTTAACTTGACGCTTATTTAAATTTATTCCGTAGCGCGCACTCAGATCGGGGTGGCGTGCGCCGGAAAAACGTTTCAAGAACAAATAACGGAATAGATTGACGGGACTATTAAGGAAATTACCTGCACATCTGGCGGTGTCGATAGAATAAACATAACAGAGTCAGCAATGTTTTCCGATGTTAAGAAAGGTATACTATCTCCAACAGCGGCCAGAACTTCAGGAGGTTCATAACGAAATATCTCGGTTAGAGTTAATCCAGGACTGACACACTGTATACAAATTGATATAAGTTACTTACGTTAAATTAATAACCGAGATGCGAATTACCGAAACTCTAATTTTTGACTTCTCGTGCCTTAATTCATTTGTTAAAGTATTCGAAAGAGCGTTGACCGCAAATTTAGTGGCAGGATACACATTTGGGGAACTGTTCGGGAGTGGGTGGTTTGGAACGTAACGAGCAGCTATGCTGCTATTGTTTATTATAAGACCATCGATATCGTGCGCCTTCATTACCCTAATGGCTTCGCGCGTAAAAATTGACAAAGCCAAGCAATTGGTGTATAACGTCCTCTTCCAAATGTTAAGGTCGCCATCTAAAATCGTACCGACAAATTACTTATTTCTGATAGATCCTTCGAATCGAAACTTTACCAGCGCCTAACGGATTTACGACTAAAGTACCGGCATTATTAAACAAAATGGATATCGGCCCCACATTCGCTTCTATCCACTCGAACACTCCCAAAATTTCCGTTTCGTTCGTAACATCGCACTGAAGTGGATAAAATTTTGTTTCGTCGGTGGATATTTGCTGACTTAGCTCTTCTAAACGATCGAGCCTTCTCGCAATTCCAATCACCTGTTAATTGTAAAAGGTGTAAGTGCGAACAAAAAAAAACAACTTCTTACATTTATTCCAGCTTCGATGAACTTCTTTGCCGTTGCAGCACCAATTCCGGAACTAGCTCCGGTCACTAGAGCATTGCATCCAACCCATTGCTCCATATTTCTACTGTGTAATATGAATTTGACCCTAACTCTCACTTTTATAATCACCCCTCCATTTGAAGGATGGAATGAAATATTCAAATGGGAAATATTTTTAGGTGTGACGTAGAACATATCAATAGGCTGTTTAACCTGTGTCGGTAAGGGAATACTTTTACCTTTTTACCCCTTTACAAATCTTGTTTTGTGAATGTAAATAACAATCTTCACACCTATTTTTTCACCGTATCGTGTTTGCATATTATACGCCAAAACATTATTTTATGTCCATTGACATTGCACACGGAAAAAATAATCAATAAATTTTCGCTTCCTGCCTAAAGATGTCGACATCTATGGTACCTAATTATTTTCATACCTTGCCAGTAATTAATTTGTAATTATTCTCCACTTTCGGTTAATTTCTGAAAATTTTTCCTAGCTACTGATTATCCTTTTCGCTTCTTCACCAGCATTCATTACAATTGTCGTAGCTGGTTGTGGTTTTGTTGTTCGAATTGCTGTATTGCTATCTAAGTCCCAAAATACAACTTGAGGATCATCAGAAAAAAGTGTTTTTTTAGAATTCTACTGCAAAATTAAAGGCTACGGTAAAATATTAAGATACAAGTGTATAATCAAGCACGCGAATACATTTTTTATTAAGTGGACTGATTATTCGCCATTCCTGATTGCCATGGAAACGTCACTTGACGTTTGCTTATAAAAATCACCGTCTTAGTAAATAAAATGACTTCGGTTGAAGAAGATGCAATTCAGTGGCTTGTTGCAGAAGCAGAAAAAAATTGTACCTGCAAAATCCAAATGCAAAAGCCTATTATAAATAATATGAAAGGCTCTTGGCGTAAATTAATAGAAAACATCTTTCAAACAACAACAAAGGTATTTAAATTTTCTACCTTTTGGCGAATTCATTCAGAACTGCGATTAAACAGTGAAACAGAATTGGCAGCATACCTACTCTAAACGACGTGGTTTGTGTAAGCTTCCAACAAAGGATACAAGCGAAAGATCTCTTTTCAATTTCCAGAAAGCGATCGGAGAGGATTTTTTCAGTCCCAAATTATAGTTTCATATGTTATATTTGTAGTAACCTTACTTAGGCTTGTTGCAGAAGCAGAAAAATAATTGTACCTGCAAAATCCAAATGCAAACAGCCTATTATAAATAATATGAAAGGCTCTTGGCGTAAATTAATAGAAAACATCTTTCAAACAACAACAAAGGTATTTAAATTTTCTACCTTTTGGCGAATTCATTCAGAACTGCGATTAAACAGTGAAACAGAATTGGCAGCATACCTACTCTAAACGACGTGCGTTTGTGTAAGCTTCCAACAAAGGATACAAGCGAAAGATCTCTTTTCAATTTCCAGAAAGCGATCGGAGAGGATTTTTTCAGTCCCAAATTATAGTTTCATATGTTATATTTGTAGTAACCTTACTTAGCAATCTTTACAGCTTGGCGTGCTTTTTCGCACGCTCAGGCCATTCTGATGTAGGCCAGATACAAAAAAATAGACGGTTGGACGTATCAATTACGTATGCCCGCGAAGGTTGCTGATACTTCCGAAATTCCAATGGGAACAGGAACAGGACACAACAGGATTTTATGTTTTACAGTCGAAAAGAGACTTTAGAACGTAGATTTCTTTGAAGGTGTTAAGGTCTACTCCAAAAGATACGGAAACGGAGTGCGTGAAAAAAAACTGGATTTCGCATAGGTGGTTCGAAGTTCGCAGGGAATGCTAGTATTATATAAAATGTTGAAAAAAAGTGCCAACACAAATAATGCACCTGGTGGAATCCAAAGTGAAGGATAACCACAGATCGTGAAAAGACATCACGTCGAATCAAAAACAGCAGAGACCTTCGCAAAAATACTAGTTCAATCCGAAACACAGGAACCCCCCAAAAGTGATTATCTTTAGGGGATTTGTTTATGGTGATTTGTCAGTTGAAAACGCCAAAACCTGTATTTTTTAGTTGGGGAGTGCCCATCATTGAATTATTATAGCAATACGACCGTACTACCTTCGTCTAAAATTCTTTGCATCAACAAATTCCACCTGACTTAATTTGTTGTTTCCTCGTATTGCAGGTGGTCGCTTAGCCTTTTAAAAAATCTGGTTTTGAATTTATGTTTGATCGACATAAGAACATTTCCACATATACCGCTTCATAGCGAACCTGAACAAAAGTATGTCCAGAATAAGCGCCATAACAACATGTACGTTTTTAATAAGTGTGCGTTTCGAGAAAAAACGATGACTAGGTCGTGGTAAGGGGGTCTTCGGCGGGATTTCAAAGAGCTAGCACGTATTATTTGTGTGTGAGAATGTACATGAGCTATTATAGTAGCACTAAAGAATGGCGCAAGGACGCCCAAAGTAAAACGTAGGGGAGTGACAATAATTTAAAAAGTGTTAATTGAAGTCAACATACAAGTAATTCTGAAGCTAATAAAAATGGTTACTTTTCATCCTTACAGGACTTCTCTCACTCACCGTTCAACAACCAATCAATATTTCTCCTTAGCCCGAACTTTGCTACCATCCGATAATATATTTCAATATCGACACCTCTTGGCTAATTCCATTTGTACTTAGTTCAATATTGCATTTTTACACTTGTTGATTTGTTACGAAATTTATTTGATCTTTTACATTTTGTTTGTACTTATAAAGCCCTGACTTATAGGAAAACTCTTTATCAGCCTGATTAATAGCAAAGCCTTTTACTTACGAGTGGTAAAATATGCGCGAAGGAATATTTTGGAGTCGGAGAACCGCTTTGGAAATAAAAATGCTATTAAATAAACCGACATTAAACTTTTATTCGGATCGCTCGCTAACAGTAACGGCTAAATCCCAAAAAGACACAAAACCTTCCCCACACTAATTTAATGTATGAATTATAAAAGCAGCGACTAGTTTCAATCAACGATCACCTTCTGGGTACAATATCTGTTACAGATTCATGAAACTTACAAGATAAAAGTACATACCTTAAGGAAATTACAGAATAAAACGTTTTAAAACATTTAGAAGTACACAATGCAAAATTTGTAAGACAGAATGCTGAAAAAGCTTGGTTCAGTTATATACTAGCGAGTTAATTTTTACTTACGGGAAAAAACGATGATAATAAAATTAAACAATAACATTAAAAAATATCTTCATTGAATGCAATCTTAGTTACATGATGTAAAATTAATTGACTTTTAATATTAAATGAAATGTCGGGCGTAGGGGGAAGAAAAGTAACTAGCGGGAAATTTGAAAAAGCAAGGAGAAGAGAAAGGGGGGGTCAGGGTGAAGGGGCGAAATGAGAAAAAAGGTAAAAGAATGCAACATAGCTTGCATGAGGCTATTGTTTTTAGAGATAAAAAAATTAAATGTGGACAAGATACCCTGTACCTGCTGAAGGCAGTCGTTGGGACTCACGAGAATAAATGGCTAAACACCTTAAAAGAAAATCCTGACTGCTGAAGGCAGAAGTTGTAACAGGAATACAATAAGAAAACATAAGTTTACAAAGGGATCTGAGTTAAACACAGCCTAAGTTCCTCAAAGTTGATTGCCTCATTGGATACCTTGTATACAACGGCACACGGCAGAGAATTTAAAAACAATTAATCGATGTATTTACTCTTAACAAACCTAGTTAATAAATTGGGCAAAATTAATATCAACACAGCGGAAAATTGGATTATTATTTCTTGGTATAATCATTATCTGCAGTTTTACCTCGGGTGTGGGTAAAACCCGGACCCGGACCCGGACCCGGACCCGGACTTGGTGGGTAAAACTCGGACCCGGACCCGGACCCGGACTTGGTAGGTAAAACCCGGACCCGGACCCGGACTCGGACTTAGTGGATTCTTTCTTTTATATTTTCGTGCATCGTAACATTAAATCCGTTATAAGGGGCTTGGTAGGGTTCCAAGCATTACCTTTTTCGGTTGGATTGAACCCTTTCTGTGCGTCAAATGCGTTTGGCTCATATTTTCAAAATGCACAAAGAAAATAGAAATTTGTTTCTTTTGTCAATATTCCTTGTTGTAGTCGCTGTATTAAGTTTTATTTTAGGCGAACGTTAAAGCGGAAGCGGAGCTTATTTTCGCTCGTTCTTACACGATGTTTGTACGCGCTTTAACTTTAGAAGGAATTATTACAGTACGAGGTTGAAATCGTCATAGTATGTTCCAGATCATAAAATAACATCCATATCCCTCCACAAATACAAGAAATATGAACAAAATTGCGCCAGGAATGCGGGTTGGCACATCTTGGTAGCCGTGTGACATAGTAAACATTTAAATAGGGGAATTTGTACCTAGATTACGGCGCAACAATAATCTTCTATTAAAGAGTTTGTTTTGGAAACCTTCTAGCTTTCCGGAAAACTATAAAAAATGAAAAATAAAGGAAACGGTAAAAAAATGCATGCACATACCCAACTTCCTTTAAACTATTAAAGCGATTTTTCTAAAAATTTTAATGTGGATCCTTCAAATCTAATCTGCCCATGCGCACACCCAACTTTCTTATTTGTAAAGGAATTTCTCTGAAGCGGCAAATAAATAATTTTAATCACAGATGCTTCTAGCAAAGCAAGCATATCTCATATTGTAAAAATCAGATGTGCGCTTGCGCATGCTGCGCAATGTCAATTTCCTTATATGTAGCGACATTTTTTTGAATTTTTAACCAATGGTTCTTCTACTGCAGGGAACATATCGCATATTTTAAACATCAGGCGCGAGCTTGCGCACGCTGCGCAATGCTAAGTTTCTTATTTATAAGAAAACATATTTTCCTCTACCTACACATAAATAGTCCGTTATATGAATTTTCGGCAAGATCTGATCGTTCATGGAAAATGGACTCAAGTAACTCCCCTTAAGGCGAAAACCGCTTTTTCATTTTTGTTTTCGTTAAATTAGGCTTATCTTTTTCTCGTAGTAAAACACTACAAATCACCGACAGTTTTTTTGAACATTACAGACGTTCCCGTAAACCGAGTAGGTATTGGTTTATTGGACATGATACAGTCGATCTCAGTAACTTCCAATAAAATATCGAATTAATATACAGCGACATTCACGCAGCTTGTTCGTTAAAAGTTTTTAAACCTGCAATTGAATAGAAATTGAAATTTGATTTACATTTGACATTTGCCAAAACCTATGACAGATAGGTAGGTACTTAAATTTTAATTGCGTTGAATGCAGAATAAACTAACGCATAGGAAGAAAATAGAAAATGTTACGTTTCTATTAAAAAACACCAAGATGGCACTACTTGCGGGGTATTTATGGAAGGAGCACCATCTTGAAATTATTTTATATTTCAATTCGCAATGGTCGGTTATGGCTGTAAACCAAATTTCAAGTTTCTATTTCAACTACAAGTTTAAAAACTTCTAACGAACGGACTACGTGGATCACCTTGTATGAATAAAATGTAAAGCTACTATAAATTAATTAGATTAAATAGGGTTAGGTGCTCGGTACCTAGGAACTATGTATGAATAAAAATATATTTACTGCGGGGGAAATTTTTTGATCTTACTCGATAAATCGTCGTAAACCTTCCATGACATGTCACATTTTCGACTTATTGCAACAAAATGGTCAATACCACCAAGAACTGTCGGTGATTTTTTGTGTATTACTTATACGAGAAAAAGATAAGCCTAATTTAACGAAAACAAAAATGAAAAAGCGGTTTTCGCCTTAAGGGGAGTTACTTTAGTCCATTTTCCATAAACGATCAGAACTTGCCGAAAATTCATATAACGGACTATTTATGTGTAGGTAGAGGAAAATATGTTTTCTTATAAATAAGAAACTTAGCATTGCGCAGCGTGCGCAAGCTCGCGCCTGATGTTTAAAATATGCGATATGTTCCCTGCAGTAGAAGAACCATTGGTTAAAAATTCAAAAAAATGTCGCTACATATAAGGAAATTGACATTGCGCAGCATGCGCAAGCGCACATCTGATTTTTACAATATGAGATATGCTTGCTTTGCTAGAAGCATCTGTGATTAAAATTATTTATTTGCCGCTTCAGAGAAATTCCTTTACAAATAAGAAAGTTGGGTGTGCGCATGGGCAGATTAGATTTGAAGGATCCACATTAAAATTTTTAGAAAAATCGCTTTAATAGTTTAAAGGAAGTTGGGTATGTGCATGCATTTTTTGACCGTTTCCTTTATTTTTTATTTTTTATAGTTTTCCGGAAAGCTAGAAGGTTTCCAAAACAAACTCTTTAATAGAAGATTATTGTTGCGCCGTAATCTAGGTACAAATTCCCCTATTTAAATGTTTACTATGTCACACGGCTACCAAGATGTGCCAACCCGCATGCCTGGCGCAATTTTGTTCATATTTCTTGTATTTTTGGAGGGATATGGATGTTATTTTATGATCTGGAACATACTATGACGATTTCAACCTCGTACTGTAATAATTCCTTCTAAAGTTAAAGCGCGTACAAACATCGTGTAAGAACGAGCGAAAATAAGCTCCGCTTCCGCTTTAACGTTCGCCTAAAATAAAACTTAATACAGCGACTACAACAAGGAATATTGACAAAAGAAACAAATTTCTATTTTCTTTGTGCATTTTGAAAATATGAGCCAAACGCATTTGACGCACAGAAAGGGTTCAATCCAACCGAAAAAGGTAATGCTTGGAACCCTACCAAGCCCCTCATAACGGCTTTAATGTTACGATGCACGAAAATATAAAAGAAAGAATCCACTAAGTCCGAGTCCGGTTCCGGGTCCGGGTCCGGGTCCGGGTTTTACCCACCAAGTCCGGGTCCGGGTCCGGGTTTTACCCACACCCGTTTTACCTCCGCGAAATTGCAGCCGGTTTGTTTGAATTTGCGATTCATACGAACTTTTTTCCAACAAACCTTGTAGTGGTCGATTATTCGTAGGAATTTGCATATTAATTCTGTTGAAGTAACTTAATATTTCTAAAGGAACTGACCCTTGAGAATTAGTTGCATGAATCAGATTTTGTATTGTATTTATTGATAAAAATTGAATCCTAACAAAGAATTTTGGTTATTTCGCTTGATTCCTTCGGAATTTGATACTTAATTTCAGAGGTACCTACCAGTCCTTTGGTGGAACTAAAATTTTGTTTAGCATTCAGAGGTGTGCATATTTTAAACAGGAGAATGTACCAGGAATTTATTATGTATAAAAAATAACAGACTAGAAAAGGATCAAACTTAGCAGGTACACGTGATCACGAGAGAGGAATGCAATTTTGTTTTGTATTCCCTTTCATGAATCAAACTAATATTTTATATCCAGGAACGTGAAAGAAAAGGAACTTGATCGCCTGTGTGTTCAATCAAACCGGAGAATTTTGAATTATAGGTTTTCAGAGGAGATAAGGGATCAAACCTCCGCAAGGTAAAGGGTAGAAATCATTTTATTACTGAGCTAGTTGTAGGAAAAATAAAATGAAATGTCACAGAAATTTTGTTATTATTTGCTATTTATTATTTTCTATTTATTATTTATTGTTTACTTATAAATTCATCATAAATTAAAATATTTCTCAATGTCTCTAATTTCAAGATGCTACATCTCAAGCATGTTATATAAACACACTTTTGTCAGATTTTCTGTATGCAAGACATTAAAAAAATCAAAGTAGATTTCGGTCCTCAATTCGCTTCTATCTACTAGAATACCTACCCCCAAAATTTCTTTTTCATCCGCAACATCGCATTGAAGTAGGTACAATTTACGGTACGTTTCGTCGGTGGATATTTACCGACTTGGCTTTTCTAAACGATCGAGCTTTCCTCCAATCCTAATTACCTGTGAATATTATAAAAGTACGAAGTACGAAGGAAGAAAATAGCCTATTTATTTATTCCACTTTCGACGAACGTTTTTGCTGTTGCTGTACCAATTCTTCTCGAACTAGCTCCGGTTACTAGAGAATTCCAACCAACCCTCTGATTCATATTTCCATTGAGTAGGTAACTGAAACACCACTCACTTCTCAGCGGCTTTAACTTCAACTATTTAGGCAATCTCTTTTATTGCACCTTTGTTAAAACACACCTGTTTAGATGGCAATTAGTCGTAGAAGCTGAACACTTAAAAAAGTAATCTCTTTTATAATGGACGTATCTAGTTTGGCGACTATCTAACTAAAATAATAATTCGAGAAAGATTGAAAAAGTTTAAAAAGGATTTAGGGTTCTAAGAGCTTGTTATTTGTGCTGCAGAAAGATACAAATTTGATTTGCAAACTTATTTTGCGAATTAGATCAATATAAGCTCAAAACAGTGTACGCCTTTATTCTTTCGCGTGTCGCAGAAATTTACACGTAAATGTGGCTCAAATTACAATCTTGTTGAGTGCTTGTTTGATTTAGAAAACTAATTAGTATTCCGTGTTTGCCAGATTTCGTCGTATTTCTCTTAATCTTCAGTCGTTTTTATTATTTGCAATAAAATATGCACGAGTTTCTGAAATTTATGATATTCGGGACTTTCTGAAAATTCTGTGGGTCTTTAACATCCTAAGCATTACAGAAGCTCCTTAAATTTAGAAGTTTTTGAAAATACTTGTATTGCTTACGGCACAGCGGCACGAAATAGAGAGAGCAACATATACAGCGAAGAGTCGGAAGTGTATAAAATACTCACTACAAGAAGCAACATCGCACCAATAATATACTTCCACGTGAATACATAAACAAGTACTTGATTAAACAATATAAAAGCATAACACCTGTAGACAGTGGCGGCTCGTGACATTTGAAACTGCCGGTTCTGTTGTAACCAATATTGCGCATAATGATAATTGTAGATGTAGGTATAAAATAAAATAAAAGTAGATTTAGCAACAAAAGAAAAAAAAACAAAAATAATTAAAAAAAATTTTATTCACCTGGAACTACTACACATTTACACATTGTTGTCCCTAACAGAGACAGATGCATTTGATTTAAAATATGTTGCTTACTGTTTCCGTGAGTTTGTATGCGATCACTGAGGTGAACTAGATCACGGATGCCGGTTTGCGTCCACTTCGTATCTCCCCCAAACAATACGCATGGAAAGCAAAAGAACGCATTTTTGACGGTACAACCGCAAATCCACTTAGTTTTTGAATAAATCTCCCGATTAAATTTTCGAACGTACTCTTTTCCTCTACCTTTTCCTTTGAATTCAATCGTCATATCCGGCAAAGGGTGCCCTTCTTGTTTTATTCTCAGTTTTTCCTCCAGCGATAAACGCGAAAAATTTGCGAACTTCCTGGTAATGTCCTCCACATCCATTATTTATAAAAAGTAACGCTCACAGAAACAACAATAATCCCGAAAATAAACGCCAACGCAACATAGCAACCTGTTTCGGTACTGTCTTCGCTGCAGCTCCCTTATCCCCTGAAGCACGTGGTTAATTGACGTCATCTGCTAATCGTTGATTGGCCGAGAGGCCATAAAACTGAAAATTTCGGTACGCAGTCCCGTCTGAATGATTGGTTGCATAAAATAAGGCGCGTAGGGGAATAAATAGATAGGATAGCTACAGATATACTGTGGTGTGGGTACTGGGTTGTAAATTGAGTAAATTCACACGTATTTACTTCTTTCTTGTTCTTAAATTTTGCCGGTTCTGCAGCACTGCAGCTCTTTAATACAAACCGCCACTGCCTGTAGATAATAAACAAACATGATTCAGGAACGGTCTCTCTACCTGTAAGGTGTGTTGCCTACCGAATGTAAACCTTGATTAATGATAATTACCTTTGTTTGGGAATGTAACTAATAAGAATGGCATACGTGAACGACTTTATTTCTATTTTCCGTGGATACATGTTTGCATACAACTTGGTTAAGTCACAATTTATCTAACAAACTCGTAATGTCCAATAGCTAATTGACCTTAAAACTAAATACCTTATTGTTAAATTGATTCCCATATAGGACGAATTACAATATCTTGAATCTGAAATGAAAAGACTATTAGTACAAATCTTGCCCATTTACCTTGTCTCTTAACAGAAAGTTCTGACTTCTGTTACTCTTTAATCCTGATTGTAAATATAGTTTAATTTATAATTAAAAACATTGTTAGAAAAGTTGTTTGTGCACATCTTTCCATATAGTAATCAAACAAGATTATCAATCGTAACTTTAACTTTTTAAAAAGCAAATAGTATATGTACTAAATATATATACATGGTGTTTCAGAAGGAATAGCAAATATTTTCGGTGGTTTATTAATTATTTTGAATAAGAAATTGATATACCTAATCATTTTGGAATTCTCTATAGTTACTGAAATACAGCAGCTTTGATGTTACTGTAAAGAGTCACAATAGTCGGCTGGAAGGACCACATCAATAAACTTAGGGCGGAAGTTGCTTGGGATGAAAGTATTACTCCATACATACTGTGTATCCAGTTTTGCAAAAGGAATTTGCTTATAATATGCATTGCGAACTGTTACAATTGCTTCATGACCTATACACGCAAATAAATTATGAATATTAATCTAAAATTAACATAAATTTGGGGGTTTAATGTTGTTTAAACAGGCATTAAGCAAAGAAAAATGGCTTGTTAACATTTTATTTAGGGGATTGATCCAACCCCACAGGAATTACTAAAGGAATAAGTTTGTAACTGTTGTTACATTAAGGGGTTTAACACCCTTCATTGTGTCAATCGAAACGAACTTTCTACAGCAAAATTTAACTATTTTCAGTAATATTATGTAACCGACCGCTGTTACTACAAAAGTATTTATCAAAAAACATATTTTCTTTTTTCATTTTCACTATGGGGATTCGGAAACCGTAAGAGATACAAAACCGCTTAAATGGGAAAAACTATGCAAAATTTTATGGTGATTAAGTTTCTCTTTAAAAGTTTCTTGTAGGTCTACAAATAGCGAAGTTATGGCCAAAAATATTATGTTTTTCAGTGTGCAGCGATAACATCAATGGCTTTTGATGTCGTTTTTAGTTTATTCAAGGTCTCTTATTTTATAGCACCATCATAAATCGCACATAGACTATCATCTGGCAACATTGTGCAACATCGGTGCATTCATCAGCATAAAAAGGCGAATTTTCCGAATTGTAGATGCTTTCTTATTTGTGTAAGAATTAGTCAAATACAATTTTACATAAAAATACGTAATATAGGTATTGTAAAGGTAGATATTTGTCTCAAACTCATAAGGGATCACGCGCCCCCTTAACAGCGCCTTGTGCCACCCTAGAGCGGCGCGCCCCCAGTTTAGGAAACACTGCATTACAGCCTTCAAACGAATAAATTTTAGGTTAATTGAAAACGTCCAGTTTCTAAAATTTTCTAAACTACCTTTCAGTCGTCCAACCTTGGAAAACTTTGATCTCGCTCTAATTTAGATTCAAGAAAATGCTGGTTGATATTGACCCCGGGGCTCGTAGCGAAAAGAACGGTCTTCTGTTTGCAAACTCTTCCGAAATGCAGGATATCCCATAACCTAATGACCGAGATAATGGAAAGAGTCTTAATTGCACACCAAAGTGCCCTCAGCGGATATTTAAATAGATAATTTCTTGAACAGATAAGTCCTTCTTTACTGGGCAGTTGGAGCTGGTGTTAAATTTCCATGTTAGATTATCCCATTTTTGGGCGGATCGATTCAACTGATGTAGGTCGATTTAAATCACGTGCAGTGTACTAACTTTCTTCTCATGTAAACAAAAGATTCACGCAATCCTCAAAACTTGTTTTTCTTGGTACGGAGAGATTACTTTTCGCGTATGGTACCGTGGACGATCTCGTGGACCAAAAACGAATGCATTAAATCTATTTTTTCTAGATTCACCCCTACCCTTGTTCACATGCATAGAACATCCACAAAATGGCGCTGATTGGTTAACGTGGCCATCTTCAATCGTTAGCTCATCTGATTCGCTTAGATCAACGAATTACGGGCGTTCACTTTAACCCCCGACCTTTCAACATTGCAGATTCATCGCTTTCCATGGACTCTAAGAGATCTATGAGATCATTCTACTGTTCTGGGCACATAAATTCCATTAAAATAGCCTTATTTACTTTCAACCCGACGGACTGACGTCGTTAACTTCCTCAAGCCCATGTAATCCCATAAAAATAAAGATTGTCAACTAATGACTTTTAAAAACATGGAATTAATATTTTTTCCTAAAATCACCCTTTAATTTGAACACTCCGTATACTCCCGGGTACACAATACCTAAAACTGTGCAACTCTTAATGATCGCAAAAAATAAACACCGTAGGAGGGTTCCAGTTACAAGGTACAGTGATCTTGGTAGTCAAAGATCGTGACCGTTTCAGTTTATCCTTACTCACTCTTTTATTCAAAATAGTCCATACCGATCAGTGAGGATTATGCACGGTTTAAATTACCGAAGGCAGACAAAAGAAACATCTAACAAAATTGAAGATATACTAGACGTCTTCTAGTATAAAAACAGTCACAGGTAATCGGTTATTGCAAATCTGGTCGAATAAACTTAGTGCAAGGTGGGTCCCCAAACAAATCTTAATAGTTCAGCACCAACGTCGGGGTGAATGCGCTCGATCCTTTTTGGAGCTACCACGTGGTCGTGTGGAAGGCGATTGCAACCTGGGATGAAACTATGGTCGTATACTATGATCCACTGTTTCAAAGGAAGTCGATGGAATGGAGACGAAAAACACAAATTAAAGCAGAATATTCGGCGGAAAAGACGGAAAGATGGGAAGCTGACCAAAGGCGTGCGTTCGCTGTATAACAATGCAGCATTACATGCACTGCTGCAGTCGCACAAACCGCAATTACGGTTTTGAGCAAATCCATCACCCCCAAGGGAGTATTATCCGACTGTGTGGCTCAGTGGTAGAGCGTTGAGCTACATAGCCGGGAGGTCGGGTGTTCGAACCTGAGCCGAGGTGAATTATTCATCAGTGGCGAAGATGGGAATTTCCTGAGATCAGTTTCAAGCATTCTTCAGGCTATTCCGAATTAGGTTTTCCTGCAGTTCTCCTAATTCGTAAGGTACAACTTCAAATAAATAACTAAATAAATAAATAAATGAATGAATAAATTACCTGCTTGGGAAATTGAAAAAGGACCTAAGGGGACGTGATTTCAGTGACAAAAAAGGGGTGAAAGTTGCAGTTTAAACAAACCGAAAGAATATATTTAGAGGTACTGAATTGTTTTTGAAGCAATGCATATTAAATGCACTAATGTAGGGGTGGAGGGGGGGGGGCTATATTGAAAAATACATTTTAATTTTTAGTCTATGCCGTTTCTTTCACAGTCAGGCCGGGAATATTTGACGCAGTGCATTTTTCTGTCTTTAAAATAATCAGGTCATCCTCGTTGCAGATCCTTACAAATCGCGGAACGAAACAGCAATGAACACCAATTAATAAATCAAAATTGCACCCTCTTGAAGCATATTTAACCCACAAGTCAGATATTTTGTGCGAATAGATTTCCAGTAGTCTTTACCGAGTGAACGCCATGTGGAGGTATTTATGGGGAACATCAAGAACGAACTAGAATAACGATGGTATCTAGTTTGAAATACATCTATGGATTGTGTGCTTATACCGTTGAACTAATAGCGATGGTCATTCGTCAATCAAATCTTCTTTTATTCATCAGGTGTCACAATTCAAATCCTTCCAACATTATATGTTTCGCTCCAATTAACTCCAGCATCAGTTTTCCCTCTGTTAAGCGTTTTGCCACCCGCATTCGCTCAATCTAATATTTTACCAGAAACTCGTGTCTCAACAAACGCAAGTTTTTTAATACAAATTTCTGTAATAAATTCACAGATCTCACGACACAGTGTAATGCCTTTTGTTACGTAAACGAATACGTAAATCAACACCGGAACATAACTGTGATACTCTTTTCAGCGTAACTAGCGCGTTTAATTAATTTGTCCTTGGCCGCGTACGGCGTTTTTAATCTCCATAAGGAAAGTTTTTTATTTGACGTTAACTGTTTATTACTTTCTCTTAAATTCGCGGTAATCCGTATTTTTTCTACGTGGATAAAACTGCGACGTTAGAATCAATTCAAGTTCATTCTCTATATTTACTGTAACGGAACTCTCGTTGTTAAAATTTTACGTTCCACTATAACCAAAATAACTGTAAAACGCTCAACCATGTTTTCTAATCGCACCAATTGGAATTGGCAACCCCACGAAAGTCCCTTCGCACTGAAATTCCGCTGACTCGTCTTCTTACGATCCAGAGACTGAGCTCATGCCTAATTCGCAGTTGTAATCAAATAGTTCTCATTAAGGTAACTGAATATAATCGAAACCCCCGACATCTAGTCTCCACACAAATAGTAAGTAGTATTATTCATATTGGGTCTCTCGTTAGTACTTTCTCAAGCAGAAATTAAGGACACTACATGCGATACACGTTTATTAAAACGGAGGCTAAAGCTATAAGTACAGCTAGTATTTCTGCGCCTTTCTCAGAGGAACGCTTCCTATTACTCTTTTTTAGTACGAATAAAAATTTATAAATTAATTTTACCCAATAGACCTAAGGACACAATGGTATCGTTCCTTTACCTGAACATTTGGAGGGGTACTCAAAATGTAGATGACAGTTTTCGCAACATCTTCGCATTTCATCATGGGACGTTCATTCAGTTCACTTTCCGAAAACTCTCTGCGGAGTTCACTTGCGACAGCACCAGGACTTACGATCTAGAAAACTATTTAAAGCATGTACTACATTCATACAACACATACAGTAACTCTGATTTTTGAAGACTCCTTGCGTAACTCCAATCGTAACGTATCGGATATGCTGTGAATCGCATGCTTCGTCGCTGGATACAAATTTTGCCCTACTAAATCTAACGAGTCAATATCCGGCACCTTTAAACCCATCACGCTGCTGATGTTAATTATTATTCCATCAATCTCGTTAGTTTTCATGGATTTGATTGCTTCCCTTTGACAAATGCAGTACGCGAGAACGTTAACTTTAAATGTGTCCCTCAATTTGTCAACGTCGGCTTCTGCGGATAAAGTTGTTGTTCAACTGTAATTTCTGGACGGGTAATTTACCTCTTAATGTTGTAAGGTGTAACACACCGGCGTTATTAATCATTATACTAATCGGCCCTAATGTCTCTTCAATCCACTTGAACGCGTTTAATATCTCCTGCTCGTCTGAGAGATCGCAATACAGTGAGTGCAGTTTTGCCGGTGCGTCCGCCAGGCTCTCGCTCAATTCGTCAATTTTTTCGACGCGTCTTCCGATACCTACGACCTGAAACAAATACGATTCCAATGTATTTAACAAGCAGGATTTCAAAATTCCGTAGTTATAAAATCGTGATGGGCAGTTAAAGGGTTGTATGTAGACTATTTAAGCATAATCAATCAAAGGAACTAATATATTTCATGCACCCCTCAGAATATGTACAAAAGTTGTAGCTAAGATGGAATTTCCTTAAAGATTCTTTAATTCCAAATCTCGAGGGTTAGCATTTATATAAACCCTTTAAACCTAACAATCAATTAAATAAATAGAAATAGTTCATGTGATACAGAATTCAGGTTATAAGTAAGATCGATTTGTGTGTAATGTTTGTAAAAGTTTATCTCATGTTATATCCGGTCATTGCGATGAGAGTGTTATCGCTGCATAAAGCTAATTAATTATATTTACTTTTGCCGGTGCCGGTGTAACAATAACATTAACATAAACGTTAAAGTAAAAAAGCTAATTAAGTTCGATAAGCAGATCTTTCTTGCAGACGTAAACACTGAAGTTAGTTAGGACCAATTTTGGAGAAGATTTGGAAGGTGCTGGAGTAAAAAGTTTGCAATGGCAATGCTACACTTTTCGCCGTTTTCAAAGTATCCATAGATTTCTGATATGGAATACCCCCCAGCACCCAGAAGATCTTATGATACGTGTGAGGAAATGAACATTGAATCTGTCTGAGTCTGGTTAATGCAGTACCCTGTATGTGGTATAACTTTAATTTGTAAGGGCAAATCTGGTGTTTTTTTTACGAACAAACAAAGTTGGTTTATTTTACTTGAATTTGTTTTCCCTTTTATAAATGTTGTTAGGTGCTTTCTGGTCGTTGCGAGAAGAAGTTTTCTTGTTAGACGAAATTTAATTAACGCACGTGTTCTTTCGTTGGTGAGGAATGCAGGTGTTTTGAAGGATTGCGCGAAGTGGGGACGTTTGGCGCGTTCCGTCGTGAATGACGTTTATCTAATCTGATTGTGATTGACGTTTTATTTGAACATGCGTGAGGAAGGGGATTATTTTATGGGAGAAGTGGTTGTTTCCTTAAATACTGGAGATAACGAGAAAAAGCAAGTAGTTGTAGTGCAAGGCGAGGCCTTTCGTTATGGCTCGTTTCTTATTAAAAGTGAAAAGCCACCGTCAATTTGTTATCTTTATTCATCAATCCAGTTTTGTTCGTCATCTCGTCCTGTGTTATAAAGCAAAGTGAAGTTCAGAATCTGTCAGCGTTTTTGTGTCACTTTAAGTGTGCCTGAATGTTCAGATTAATGACTAAAAGCAATTAAGATTCTTTATTTATTTGTCTGGCGAACGCCCGCGTGCGTGGTATGTGTAAAAACAAGCTTTGAATGCTTTTAAGGTTTTTTTTAATCCTTTCATGTGTTTCGGAATAAATTGTATTTGCCAATTGTGTGTTTATTCGAATCCAAGGTGCGACCCACATAGAGTTTTCATGTAAAATTTTCCTATTTGTGTCCAAGATTTATTTCAGGTGTTGATCAAAATTTTTTTGGAATTTTTCGATTTGAGAGATTTTAAGTCAATATTAGGATTTTTCTTGTAGCAAATGCTAGGTTCAATTCTGATTTGTTTTGAGCTAGCTGGACAGGTGTTTCGTGGATGGTGGTTTCGTAGAGATTTCCAGATAATATCCAGAAGACTCCATAAATTTAATTACGCAAGTTATTTATCTACAATTAATTAAAAATAAATTTATATTTTTATAAATATATATTTTTTATCTCTCACATAATATATACACAATGTATACCAGCGCGAACTATTTATTACTTCGGCGTTGAAATTGGAACTGTCCTGAAACGCAATTCGATTTTTTTATATAGCCAATGTTCTCGATTGCTCGCGAATGTTCTCGAACTTAACGCTATTCCTAGCTAACATGCACGATCTGGGATTGATTTTCGTTGTAATGAGTCGCGCTCCTTGTTACTCCCTCTGCTTCCACCTTCGTCTTGGAAAGTAACTGTGGTGAAGTTCACGTAGGGTCGATGGTTGCAAGTATGTCAGGAAGTTTGGTCCATAAGAACAATTAAATTTTGTCCCTTGGGGTCCCTTTTCCTGCCTACCACCCGCCAATTGCTGGTTGTAACTCCAGCATTTTGGATTTCGATACTTTTCAGGTTCTACTTGCGCCCCGGCGTCCAGGCGTGTTTTGGGAGGTTCTTTGCTGCGATGAATTGAACTTTCGACTCCTCCCACGGAGCTGCTCTCGCTAGATCCGACCTCAACCAGTCCACCGATACCTGGTCTACGCATGTGATCAACAGCATTCCCCTTGAATTTGGACGAAACTCCAATGGATAATTCAGCTTTTGATTCGCCCGGTCTCCTTTTCCGACAACGTTCCCTCTAGGTCTTCATGGACAAAAATCATTCGGTTTGTTGATGACACAGTAATTTTGATAAGAAGGAAGAGATGGCTCTAAAAGTCGAACAGAAACGGAAATAGTTTTAAATAGAAGAGACGGACTTTAATCACTGCTTTTTTTGGTGGTGGACGTTAAGCGTTCCTTTTTGGTGGGCGTTTGCCATATTTGAGTGGATTATTGCCAGTTGTAAGGTTTTGTAGAAGAAAGTTAGTTGAGTGCTCTAAGAGATTTTTATGGTGCCGTTTAAAGTGAATTAAGTCAAAGTGAAGGTCGAATTAAAGAAGTGAAGTTTAGGAAAAAAATTAGCCGGAGTGTTGTGTTTATCGAGCATTTACCGCATAAGGAAGTCTTATTTTAGGGGAGTCCAACATTAAAGAGCCAATTTTATATCTGTAATTACAACGAACCTAGTGTCGTCTAAATTGAAGATTAAGTAAAGAAGTGAAGTTTCGAAGTATCATTTGGTGTTTGTGTTTGTGCGTCATTTAGAGAAAATCGCAGCGACGACAGAATATTTTGGATTATTAACACTTTAACGGCCAGTTGCACAAAAAAAAATCCAGGATTATAGTTTAATGCGGTATTAAGACATTTGATTGGCTTTATATTGCAGTAGGCAGCCAATCAAATGTCAAAATTGTTGTTTAAACTCAGATTTGGGCAAATAATCTAGGATTTTGATTATAATTCGCTTTCCTGCAACCGGCCGTAAGGCACTTAATTAAGATTTGTTTAAATTAGTTGTTTCAATCGATCGCGTGTTGCGTGGTATGTTTTAGCTGTAAATGTTCTATGTTTAATTAATCGAGCTCAAATTATGACCTAGATTGTTTGTCTGTTTTTTTTGTTAGTACTCAGGGTTATACCAGGTGTTTAAGTAAAAATTTGTAATATAATTCTTTGGAATTATGGAGTTGATCATCGATAAGGTGGTGGATGCTAAGCAGTGGTTGCTACGAAAAAGCCGTTCGAAGTTGATCGACGGTTGCTAACAAAGAGGCGATCTATGGAAGATGCGAGAGATATTCCTTCCCCTCTCGAGTGTATAAGGAGATCGATGCTAAGCAACGGTTGATGTGAAAAAGGTGTTCGAAGTTAATCGATGGTGTATGGAAGATGGGAAAGATGTTCCTTACCTACGAATGATTATGAGGAGGTGTTCGAAGTTAATCGGCGGTCGATACGAAAGAATTGGTCGTATAATTACGAAATGAAAATGAATTAAAGGACTTAATTGTTGTTGTTTCGAAGCAGGTCCATGCTAATATGAACGAAAGGAAATTGCGTTGTTGTTTTTGTTGAAACGACAGCGTATTGCGCTCGTTAAAACGGCAGGATCGACGAAGGCGATTAATTATAACGACGGATTCATGGTGTTGCTCGATGATAACGACGTGTTGCACGCACTTCCGTTATTATTGATAGCTGTACGATGACAGCTTGATATTTTGATTGTTGTTCGATGAATTCTGATCGACGAACGCGCATGCGCAAATGTAGTGCAATTCTAGCTTCGGTGAGCCGCACATAGCAAGTGGGAATATATACAGGGGCAGGTAAAATTGTTATTACAAGGCGTGCTAGGATATTTTCTTTGAAGGAAACAACAAAGACTAACTCTAGTTTGGGGACGCAACAATAGGGTAGTAGTGAAAATTATAAGAGACAGAAATTCCTTAAAAATTCCCTTCCGTACCTGATGGACAACGACCCACTCTGGGGTAATTTTATACATAAATGTTGACACGTGAAAAATTTTGGTGCACGTGTTAAATTAGTGTTTCAACGCCCTTAAGTAGGTAGGCTAAGTGCCACTTGAAGAGTTAGAGTAGATACAACAACAAACAAAACAAGGAAGGCGCAATTTATTGACACTTGTTATCAGTCATATTTATTCAGTTTTTCACTTTCGTAATGTTCGTTAAGAATTAATAATCGCTCATTCTTCTACATTAATCAGCTTTACAAGGGGTTAAACTGTAATAACATTCAGATAGGGTCGGAAAGCAATTGATAGGTTTGTCATGCCAATGATGTAGAGCGAAAAGGTGTGATCTTTTAACGTTTAGATTAATTTCTAAGGAACGCTCAATTACTTTAAGGCTCCTGCTACAAAAGACATCAATACAACGGGGTGTCGAAGGACCCCTCAAATTACAAAATGTAGGTGACCTTTGACATATTGACTAAGAATTCAATAGTAGTGAGCTTCTGTTCAATCGGAAAGACAGGCAGATGGACACCATAACTTTTTCTCTCCCATCTTTAGAATTTTCTATTAAAATCTTGAGAATTGTTTGTAAAACTCTCTTACAATACATATTCCTGAAGCCATCTTGGAATCGCAATGGATTCTTCTTGGGTTTTGTAGAATATAAAAATTTTATCGTCCACTTTACAGTCTGTTCTTAATGTCTTAGTATCTTCTATCGTCTTCCAAATTAGACAAAAAAGTTATAGATCCTTGAACCTTAGAATTTTCTCAGAGTCCTCGTAGAATCTTTTTAGAATCATCTTGGAATTTTCGTAAAATTATCTTAGAATCCTCTGGTAGATCCTTAAAGTAGAAATTTTAGAACCTTTGGGACATCTACAACCTTCAAAACCATTAGAATCCTTAAGATATTAGTAGAACTTGTAAAACTCTTCTCATCGCCATCTCGCCAACGTGGTAGAACCTTTTAGGACTTCAAAACCAGGTTGGTATGTTCGTAAAATGTTTCCACAATATTCTCAACAATTTTGATTTATATTTATTAGAATTTGTTTAGAACATTCTTTGTACATCTAAAGAATTTCTACAGACCCTTATTGGAATCTTTAGAACCTTTATAATAGCTGTAGAACCTTCTTACAATCCTTTTGGAAATGTTGGCATCTTCTTGTAGCCGTCATGAAATCTTCTTGGAATCTTACAATGTTTTTAATAGCCTGCGTAAAATCTTATTGTCTTCTTATAATGTCCATAGACTTCTCTCCTCGTTCAGATTCAGATTCACTTAGAAACTCCTGAAGGCCTTAGGGGCTCAAGAAACCTATAGAACCTCAAGAACGATTAGAGTTCTTGAAAACTTCTCAGAGACTTCATAAAACCTTTTTAGGGCTTAGGGTTTCCAACTGTTCCTAAAAGCTGTGCAAAATCTTGGTCTAAGGGCGGGAAAATGGTTAAAGCAGGCTTTATGTATGAGTGAAAATGGTGTACAGTACTACATGGGGAATCCATCTCAAACTTTAAACTAAGTGCTAAATTGATTATTTGCACCTAGACGAGTAGGTAAATCTCGATCGTCATACGCCAATCCTCAATGTCTAATTTGGAATGAATTCTTCTTTCGCTTTTACAAAGTATAACATATAAGATCTATCTTAATATCTGAATATCTGGAATAATGTTTGAAAATATTATTGTGGATGGGATAATTGGCTCGAGGGGTACACTACATTATTATTATATCTTGTTAGCAATATTGACGAAAAACCGAAAGCGGCGTAGAAATTCGTTAATTCGATACTGATGTGGATTCCAACACGGAAATGTTGAAATAAAAACCTACCAAGTGGCTAATTCACGGTACGAACATGCCAAGCAATATCAAATACGAACGTGTGCTCTGATTTAATTGCGTTAACACGAAACGTAAACCTACCGTAAATTACAACGATACGTTGGTTTTGTAAAAATAAAATCTTAACATGAACCTTACATTAATTCCGGCTTTCACTAATTCTGTAGAAATTGCAGCTCCAACTCCGGCACTCGCTCCTGTCACAACGGCCAAACTTCCAGCCCACTTTTCCATTAAGGAGAGATATAAATTACCGGCCTATAATGTGTGTATGTATGTTTCGGTAAGAAAGATTAACCGTGTAATAAAGCGGTTGACCTAAATATCTCCTTTTATATCACATAATTATTTTTGGAAATATCCAAACACACGGAAGCTTCCCACGGTTATTTTTTAATAATGGTTGGTGTCCTGGCCAGAGGGGCCACTCTGTTATTATCGTTGTCCTTAGATACTACTTCGATTCATTAAATTTTTATGTCCGACAATAATTTAAGGATTAACTAATTTTTTTTCTGAAGCGTCAATTAAACTGATGTTAAGTTTCCCAATTATAATTGTTGCAAGTATTTTCACGACAAGGTATTTGGTAAATTGGAAAACAGCGCACACGAATGCCCTCGGTAGCTGTGGTCATTGGAATTAGCTTTGTGGCTTTTAGGCATCAACTCAACGACCACGTGCCCCCGAGCTTATGATATTTACTGCGTAGATATAGATGCATTTTCGGGTAGTCTCAGGGTTTTAAATAAACTAATATGCAGTTAACTCCACGAGTAATGGCAACAAAGCAAATTTTGGGAATAAATAGACACTAAAATGATATGCTACAGTGAATTCTGTAGTCTTATTAGAAACATTTTAGGGAAGTAGTGTGGCAAGCACTCCCCTCTTCAGAGTATTAATTTTTAACAAAAAAAAACGTTAGTTGGATCTAATCCGTCAGCATTGTTGCGCAACCCCACTGACAATTTTTTTAATATATTAAATAAAAAGTTCAATCAAAAACTGTTCCTTTCTCAAACTTCCAGATGAAAATGAAAGTATGTGTTAAATTTGAAAAAAAAATTATCGTTGCCACTGATTCTTAACTTGAATCTAATTTTCTATCCTCTGGATTTAAATAAAATGAAGGTTATTACAACCCATTTTTGACAAAAGCATTTGAACCTACGGAAATCTAATTTTTAACTCAGTTAGAAATTTCATTAATGAAATTTACCTGCAAACAGTTTACTCGCCTTTCTCTCTTCCTCCCTTTCACTATTCCGGTGGACCTCTTCTTCTTTTGCATATCTTACTTATGAATTTTACAACTTCTCCTTGGTGCGATCTGTGGCGCATTTCAGTTTGATCTTCTGTGTATATCTCGTCGCTGCCATCCCCTTCTTAGCCGACTTCAGTTCCCCATCCCTCTCTATTACCTCTTCCCTCTTTCCCTTTCCCTGTACCTATTATGCTGTTCGGTACAAACCCCCGTATTCCTCTTCCTCATTTACCCGTTTCTATGTTATTGCATTCACAACAGTTCACATTGTCTTTTTTCACTATACCTTTACGTTCTTGTTCAAGAATTGTCTTACTTTTTATTTGATTTTCATTTACTATCATGGAATCTCCTATCGACTTCTCTTTCCTCTTACCGTTTACGTTTCCGATTATTATTCTCCATCCTCTCTCACTCTCTCCTTATGTCCAGTGCTAACAGAAATTCTCACTGTTTGTTGTATTTTCACTTATTTGCTCTTTCCCATAGATATACAGTCTTCTTTATGTCCTATTCTGTTTTGTAATAGTAATACCATAGCCAAACGTCAGGTGGTGTACCATATCCAAAACTACTCGTTCTCCTTAATTTTGTTGTGTATTATTTTGTTTGTTGTGGTGTGACAACGTTACATGAAATAAAGGTCTTGTGTACGATGTATCAGTAGACTATAACGTCTTTATTAGCACACGTAATTACCAAATCCATATAGGCTTTTACTTCGGTATCCGTTGGAACCCAGCAAATATTGAACCGTAATTTTCATATTTCATAGTAGCTTTACTATTAGTTTCTAAAACGATTGTATCAAATATTTTGGTATCAGCAGAACGGGAGCAATTTGTCGGCCATCTTGGATTTTATTCATTTAAATCAATTAAATTGCTTTTAGGTCTGGTGCTTTGGTTCGCGGATTTAATTAACTTAATTCAATTATTTTTTCGAAATTTTAATTAAATTGGATCAATTAAATAAAATTGACGGGTTTATTCGCTGTTTGAATCGGATTCGCGTTTTGATTGTAGTTTTGCCTTTAACCGGCGAAAATAAGATAGGCTTTTGCGATGTGATTGATTGTCCGCTTATTATTGCCATTTCGCGGATTTAATTTCTTTGAAATGGGACTTTGATTTGGATCAATTCTGTGAATCGGGCCAATTTGTGAGTGTGGCCAAGAACTTCTCGCTTTTATGGAACTCGCAGATGGATTTACTCACGGATTGAATTTGCTGGGAGTTGATTAAATTATTTTAATTGAAATCGCGGTATGGGATATCAGTTGCGGTAATTGAAACCAATTCAGTCTATCTCTCTTACACATTAATGCCCCATCTTTGTCGTACTTGAGCTGTCCAGAAAGAGGATCTTTTGAGATACCTGCACTGAAACCTTCTGACAATTTCGAATTTAATTTAGACGTAAAAAATAGCAAGCTTGTGTCTCACGTTGTTTCCATGGAAAGAAAATGGTCATATGTTCTGAACGACTGAACGTCATTTTATGCCGTGCTCCGTGTCTCATTTGAAATAAGAATGACAGATGTCATTAGAATGCACAATCATATGTTTCACTATGTTTACCCTTGCGGTTAAAGAGATCACTTTATCTAATCTCTCGGTTAACTTAGCCTTCTCATTCAAACCTCTAAAATGTCAATTTAACATCTGCTTGTAAATATATTTACAAATGTCGTCGTGGAAACATTTATTTGAAACACTAAAAACACGAAGCAATATTTGTCCGCAAAAAGCCGTAGGGGGAAGGTTGATTTTCTTTAATTGGCACGCAAAATTGGGATTTTTGGTCTCGATCGAATGATACCTTCGTTCTTGGTATTAAGTGGTAGCCGCAAAGAAAACATTTCTTTAGTGGTTTTAGTGAATCGACTTCTCTTAATGTGTAAAACAGCAGTGGAGAAACATCTCTTTTAATGTAAGATCCTCTTTAAGCAATGTAACATTAACCTTCCCTACGCCTAAATTTAGTAACGTGTGTGATGTTCTTATTCTACACGTCATTCTCAGTCTGAGGCACAGATGCAAGCGATAAAACGTTAAGCATGCCATTTTAACGAACACACAAAAAAGAAAGTACGTTATCTAGCTACGCACTACGGGGTGGTTTTTACGTAAAGCGGCGGCGCGGCGTAACATAATAATTCCGTAAGTTGCACGTTTTTAATTGAGTTTTACATGTTATTTGAGAATCGCTTGTGTAACATGTAATACTAACAGCACGTAACGTTTACCGCAAAAACAAACACGTATAAACTAGAACACAATAATGAAACTGAATTTCCACATTCTGCTAAATAGGTAAATAAACACCGAACCGCATTTCGTTCTGGCAACTACAATTGTTCCACCCCGAAACGTAGTTCTTTACATAATTACGTTCAACGTTTTGATTACTATTAAATGAGATTGTATTTCAGGCCATAACGGACCAATCCCGCCTAAACCCGAACTTCCCACCTTTACCGCTTTTAAGTATTTTTTTAAGAGCATCCGAAAGGGATAAATTTTCGCTACGAACAGAAACAAAATGACAAAGGAGAGAGAGGGCGAACGGGTACTTAACGAAGACGAGGGCAGTTTAGGTATCCCAGTAGGGTAATTTTTGTTATTTATTATTTTCATTACTCATTTTCTTCCTAATCGAAGACGTTCATTGTTGGTGTTATAATTAAGCCAAACTTTTTTGTGCTTAACGTTATGAAACTTCTAACATAAAAATTAAACTTTGTTCCTCATCCTTGGAGTATAAAATTTAGGCTTCAAAACATAACATGATCAATTTATGTAACCGCGTGAGATTTTTAGGGAGATTTCTATCTATCTACCTATTGTAATGGTTCCAGTTTAGATATATCACTTCCTAGAAACTAACCTTCGTAATTATAAACCGATTTCGACCAAACTTGAAGGATTGGTGTACGTAACTCTACCTACACCTGATCGGCCGAGCCGAAAGAGATTTTTTTCTTTAACCGGGTTGGTACTCGTGTAAATAAAGCCCGATTCACATTATTGGTCATGTCACGGTCAGATCACGGTCCGGTCAATTATTGCAGCGTGTATTCCTTAAGACCCATTCACATTATCGGCCAGGTTACGATCATAACATGCTCATAAGAAATACACGCCACAATAATTGACCGCGCCATGACCGAACCGTGACGTGACCGATAATGTGAATCGGGCTTAAGTGAATTTATATCACTGCTCTAATAGGCCCATTTCAGTTGATTTCAATCATGCAATTTTTGTATCGCTTTATGTAGATCCTTGCAAAATCAGAATTTTAAGAAAGTATAAATCGCAAAATTTCGGAAATTTAGTCGAAATAAATTACATTGCAAGAATAAATTTTGAAAATGGTAGTTCACCGAATAAAAATAGAAATAGGCTGGGAAAAAAGAACTTACCAAGAAAAAAACCGGCCGACAAATTAATATTAAATTGTGTAGTAAAATTAATTGTTTGTAATGATATGAGTTCATAACATAAAATTATAGCAACAAAATATGCAGCATGTAGGTTTCCACAGGTGACCTATATGTTAAAAACAAGTTTTGGGAACTATTGATCACGTGAAAAGGTACGAAGATTTTGAGAAAGTGTAAATACACAGGATGTGAATCACCTTTGGTGCAATAAAATTCGTCTCTTAAAAGCAAGATGGAAAATTATATAGTCTTGTAGGGAGAATTCAATATTACAACAAAATATGTGGAAATCGATGAATGGCAACTCATATATCACACACACGCACACAGATTCTAAACCGAAGAGTTTTTTATTAGCAGAATCTCGCCCCCGATATAGGCAGCTAATTATGGGTCCTCGTTCGAGATTTACCAGCCTACAGTTGAGAGTCGAGAGCAGTCCCAGCATAGACTGTCGTAAGTTGTATATACAGGGTGGAACCTCTTAAGTTTATGAATTTTGGGTCATAAACTATTAAATACATACCTGGGTTTTCAAACGATGATAATTTTACGAA